TGTTCCTTTTCGAGCGATTACAAGACGAGGGAGGCGAGTAGGGAACAGAGCGCAAGCCATGGATAGAATGGGAGGGAGGAGCAGCAGACACTCACTGCTTCGGATACTTCGGCCCATTCCCCCGCGCCTCCATAATATCAATCTCCCCGCTGAGCGGCCACGGCCCGTACGCGCTGTCGACCGGCAGCATCCAGATCGCGGGCCAGAGCCAGTCGCCGGTGGGCAGCTTGGCGCGTACCTCGACGCGGCCGTACCTGATGCGCGTGGGCGGGTCAGCATATGTAGTCTTAACGGGGGTGCGAGGGAACGAATTTAAAGCAAGGCAGGCGGAAAGCAGGATGCGAAGGAACAAGAGGAATGAGGACAGGATGGCGGGCGGAGGGGAAGGTAGAAAGAGGAAGAAAACACACGCACTTCAAACTCGCACTCCTCCGCGTACTAATCCTCGCGCTCATAACAGGCGGCAGGATGCGCCCCTGCGTCGCGTTCGAGACGGCCGAGCACGCGGCGAGGTACGCTTGCAGGTCGAGTGGGGTGTCTGGGGCTGCGAGCAGAGGCGTCAGCGTCAGTCTAGTCTTGCTTGCGGAAGGTAGAATAATAGGTGAACGAGAGCAGCGACTCACCAATCCCCCCCGCTCCGTCCGCCCCACCCCCGCTCTCAGTCGTATTGATCCCCGCGCTCCCGTGCCCCTCGGTCGTGTACCCCGACGAGTGCGTGATGTTGTACGTGCAGTCGGTGAGGTTGTAGATGGCGCCGTCTGGGGAGGGGTGTTAGTGTGTCTTAAGTAGAGAGGGTTAGGGAAGGAGGGAGCTGGGAAGTGCGGGGGAGGAAGGAGGGATGGGGGTGTGAAGCGAGCGCCGCGAGCGTCAAGTGGAAGTGTGAGCCGCGAGCGCCGAGTCGTCGCCGTCGTGGCATCGTCGTGTCGTCGAGTCGATGCTCGGTGCTTGGCGCGAGGACGTGCTCTGCTCGCCGCATCGTCATGTCATCCTCGTCTCGATGCTCGTCGTCCTCGTCGTCGTCGATGCTCTAATCGTGCGGTGGAAGGCTTTCGAAAGCGCCGCTTGGCGGAGGACGAGGCAGTGTGGTGGAACAGTACAAACGGAAACCCAAGACTCACCCAAAATACTCCCCTCGGGAATAACCTCGCTCGTGAGCGTGGGGACGAGGTACAGCTGGTTGTTGTACACGAACGAGTTGGCGTCGCGGGCGGTCGTCATTTCGAATTCGCCGTTCCTGGAAGAAAGAGAGTTAGATCGTAGAAGGAGGTGAGGGAAAGATTTGGGCAAGGTGAAGGACTCGAGCGGCGCGGCGCGGGGGCGATGGGCCGACGACGACGACGCCCAGGTATGACGAAGATGACAGATCCTTCTCCGCCGTAGACGAAGACGCGCAACACGACACCAGCAGCGAAAAGCAGGCGACGCGGGGGCCGGCGTGGTCCGCACTACCCCCCAATGGTATGATAGTCCCATGAGCGTCGTGACACTGGGACCCATACCTCGCCCCGATAGGGTGCACAAGCACGGCCCCCGCCGCCGCCGACGAAGAGGACGCGCCCGGCCACCGTACAGTGAGCGCGTACGAGCAGCCCCCGCGGCCACCGCCGCAGACGAGGACGGGCCCCTACCCATCAACGACGACTACGACACGACAACCCCCGGGCATGACGAAGAAGACGACGGATCTTCCCCTCCGTGACTGCGCCCGCCCACCGCCACTCGTCATCAGCGCCGACCCGGGCACGATGGCCGCCTCCCCCTCGGGCAGGAGCCGCCCGCTTGAACGTGCAGTCCGCGACCTGCCACCGCCCACCGTGCTTGCAACGCCACGCTGTACTCCGCCCCGGTGAGAGGCGGTGCGACGCAATACGAGAAAAAGGGTAAAACAATATAGAGAAGCCACGCACCCAAACCCACTCGCATCCACCTCCCTAAAGAAACTCCCCCCCTCGCCCGCAACGCCGGAGCCGAACAGCTGGGCCGTGGTGGTGGAGGAGAAGTCTTCGAGGAGGACGGGGCAGAGGGGGGCCTAAGAGGAAGGGGAGGGGGTTAGTAAGGGGCAGGATGGGTGAGGGGGAGGGTGGAGAACGGGGAGGGGGGAGAGAGAGGGACGGGAGGGGAGGAGGAAGGGGAAGCAGGATAAGAGGGTGGAAGCGCGGACACAACGAGAACGAGACGAGGGCTCCCGGCGACGGCGAACGAAACGCGAAGCACAACGCAGGCGCGGAGCACAACAGGACGAGCCCAGTCCGAGCAAAGGAGCAGGCGAGAAGAGCCACAAAGTACGGAGCACGCCTGTACCGCCGAAGCGCCCTCCTCGAGACAGGCTGGCTGTCTGCGACGAAGCAGAAGTACGACGGCCCCACCCTGACACAACGCTGAAGCACGAAGCAGCAGCGCGGACACAACGAGACAAAACGACGACTGCCGCCGGCAACGGCGGACGCAGAAACAGGAGTACCACCTGCCTGCACCGACGCCGGAGTCCGGACGAAGCAGAAGTACCCCGGCGACGAGCACGAAGCACCCCAGCACACATCGAATGAGTACCCGCGACACGGACACGACGCAAGTAGCCACGACACGACGCTCTCGGCGAGGATCCATATCCGCCAGACACGCCCTGCCCTGCGTCAAGAAGCCTGTCCATCCCGACCTGACCACCCGAAGCACGATGACGCCCCCACGCGCTCCCTGACACGCTCCCTGACGGCGGATAGCACACGCGAGAGCCCAGTCCGGCGCCTCCGCAAACGAAGCACCAAGAACCCCGCGCCCAGCGACCGCGAAAGCAGGAGCACGCCGCCAGCATGCGCCCACCACATCGGAGGACGACTCTTCGTGGTAGTAGCAGTAGGTAGCAGTAGCCAAAAAAGAACGAAGGAGGAAGGAGAAAAGAGAAGGAGGAGAAAGGAGGGAGCAAGTAGGACCCACCTTGAGCAGCATAACCCCCGTCCAGCTCGTGTATATGCGCGCGGCACCGGCGGCGAGGCCTGGGGACGCAATGCGTTAGCGATGTGTTCTCCTCATCAAATGCGAAAGGAAGGAGGAAGGAGACGGAGCAGACGACCGTCGACACCAAGCCGACGACGCCGCGGAGGACGCCGCTCACACAGCAAGGGGCGATGGAAGCACTAAGCCGGTGTCGCGCAGAACGCGTGGACGACCCCTCCTTACGCCCCAGCAGTGGCGCGCTGCGAGGCGCCAAAGCAGAGGACAGGACGACGACGGCATCGTGTCGACGTACGCGCCCGCAAGGAAAGAAGGCGCAATGCAAAGAAGGAAGGAACACGCCGCAAGGAAGGCGCGGCGAACGCGCCCAAGGTGGGCGCTCGACCTGACGCCAAGAACCCGCCCCGCAATAGCCCGCACTCTGCACGGTGCCGCCGCAAGGAAGAAAAGAAAGACACGACGACGACTCACCCAACAAAACAACCCCATAAGTAAGCCAATACGCCACCCGCGCCCGCCGATCCCGCACGCCCACCCACGGCTTCGAGAGGGCGGTGGTGAGGGTGGCGGAGGTGCCGATCTTGATGGGGGGTGTTTTTGGGTTGGTGGAGAGGAGGGAAGCGCGGTAGGATTCGCCTGTCAAGCGCTTATTAGCATTGAGAAAAACGATAAGAGGAGGGGTAGAGGAAGGAAGGGGAAAAAGAGCAGAAGCAGCAACCCACCCGCATCCCCCACAGCATGACTACTCGGCACCAACAACGCCGTACTCTTCGCGCGCGCGCCCCTAGCGCGGAGGGACGCAGACGACGGCGGCGGCGCTGCGTAGAGCGTCGTCGGGCGCGGGGGCGGGGAGGCGAAGGCGGGTCTTACCCCCCCTCCTGCTTTACCACCCACGTTATTCCCGCTCTCGGTAGCAGCGACGCTGAGACCCAGAGGCGACGCAGCCGACGTCGGCCGCCCCGAGGAGCCCCCGGTGCTCGGACGGGAACTACCACCGCCGCCGATGGAGTACGTGGAGAACGCGCGCGGGACGTGCACGTCGACGAGGCTCGACGCGCGCGTGCTCCCCGGGCTCGGGAACGGGTACCCCCCTCCCCCTCCTCCTCCATTCCCGTGATGGAGCCCGGGCGAATCGAGCGTCGGCAGCGCCATCGGCGTCTGGAGCGGGGTGGAGGAGGGGGAGGCGGCGGAGAAGGAGAGGACGCTTGCTGGGGGGGAGAATGGATTGCTTGCGTTTCCGCCCCCGTTGGCGTTCCCGCTGGCGTTGTTGAAGTTGGTGGCGAAGGAGCCGGGGGTGGCGAACGGGTTGGCGTTGGCGTTGGGGGTGGAGGTGGAGAAGGAGTCGCGCGGGGGGTGGGGGGGCGTGAGGAAGCTGAGGCTGCGGGGCGTGTGCGGTGCGCTCCCGTGCTGCTGGGCCGTGGGCGAGGGCGGCTCCGAGGTGTCGGCGCCGGGGAACGTCGTCGTCGTGTCCGCGCTGGCGTTGGCGGCGAATTGAAGCGGGGCGGGGCGGGCCATCGTCGTCGTGCGCGTCGTCCTATCCTAATGCAAGGCTATCCTAAGTGAAGCCTATGCGGGCTTTGAAGGTAGTAGGCAAAGTAGTCCAAGGAAGGGAGGGCAGGGAAGGGTAATATAAGCTGCCGAAGAGCCTTCCTTCCTTCCTTCAAAGCCTTGGGCGTGCATCGTGCATCGAGATCGGATTGAATCGAAATCGCGTCAATTCCGCACGCCACACCGTAAACAGCGCCGCCTGATACCATTTGCATGTCTGTCCGTGTAAGCACAAGAATAACTACTTTTTCGCGTGCCTATCAAGGGGCCTGTAGGCTGTCTGGATGCCGGGCCATAACAGTATGCGTATCTGGTCGAGATGGACGTCGGCGAAAGGAAGAAGGATGGACGTGGGAAGAACACACACGCAGCCACGGATGGAGATGGGTGCGTTGGATCCCGGGAATCCTGATCAGGTCGGGGTTCGTTCGGGAGGTGGATTCGAGGAGCGGATGAACTTCGGGCGCGTCTGATAGGCAAAAAGAATTACACACGGACAACGACCTGACCCGGAGTCGAACCGGGGACTCCCACTGTTCAACAGATTCCAAGCTCTAGGCTCAAACAAAGTGGTGTGAACCATTCACCATCAGGTCTCTCTGCCTTACTGCCTATCATCTTCTCCACATTCAGAAAGCTAAAGCTGCAAGGCAGACCCGAGCGACACAAAAAAAACTGTGCAAGACCTGACCCGGAACCGGTCCCAGTGACTTTCAAATAGATTTTATTGCATAATGAAGGTATTCATCAGGAGGTCTTGCTGCTTTGCAGCCAAACCTCGATGCACTCTCGTGCAGAAATGGACAGACTAAAGAAAAACTCAAAACATGACGACGAACAGTGGTTCATGACCTGACCCGGAATCGAACCGGAACCTCCCATTTTCTACTGCCGCAGGAGTGCTTGAAGAAGACTGGGTGTGAACCATTCACCAGCAGGTCTCTCTACCTCATGTCTCATCCTCTACAAATGGACAAGAATTGCTGGGCAGGAAGGCGGACAAAAATGGAAGCTTTGCCCAGTTAAGACCTGCCCCGGAATCGAACCGGGGCCTCCCACTGTTCAACCAAGTCATGCACTTCTAAAACAAAGTGGGTATGAACCATTCACCAGCAGGTCTCCCTACCTTATTTCTCATCTTCAATAGATGGACAAAAATGAAAGATTTACCCAGTTAAGACCTGACCCGGAATCAAACCAGGATCTCACACTGTTCAACCGACTTTACATACTGCTCAAACAAAGTGGGTGTGAACTATTCACCATCAGGACTTCCTGCCGCATTTCTCATCCTCAGCAGACTGACAAGAATTTCTTGGAAGGAAGACAAAAATTGTGAGCATATGGCTGGCCTAAGACCTGACCCGGAATCGAACCAGGTATTCCTATTTTCCAGAGTTTTTTCTTAGCAAAGGAAAGATGGATGTGAACCATTCACCCTCAGGTCATTTTTTATGGTGAGCACATGGGCAAAAATGTCTGGGCAGGAAGGTAAACAAAAACATTCAATCCTAAGAACATGATGCGGAATCGAACCAGAATGATCCCACTGTCATAGTTTAACGCTCGGGTGTGAACCTGTCAGAACCATTCATTCACCAGCAGCTTTTCGTGCTTTAGTCCTCAACCTCAACACCCCCTAGCATTTCAAAAGAGAAGAGGAGAGGAGACAAAGAAAAAATGACCACCACCACGCGTCCATGACCCAACCCGGAATCGAACCGGGGACTCCCATTTTCTATTCACCTCAGTTCAACTCGAAAGGAGGATGGGTGTGAACCATTCACCATCAGGTCTCCCTGCCTCATTTCTCATCTTCAATAGACTGAAAAAAATTGCCGGGCAGGAAGATGTACAAAAATTGTAAACACAAGCAATGTCCCACTGAGACCTGACCCGGAATCGAGCCGGGTGCTCCCACTTTCAAATGCAATCGACAGGTGCAAGGAAGAGTGGGTGTGGACCATCCACCATCAGGATCAGGTCTTCCTGCCTCATGTCTCATCCTCTACAGGCAGACAACAATTTCTGAGTAAGAAGGTAGACAAAAAGGGTAGAACTCGAAAAGTCAAGACCTCGAACCGGGGACTCCCATTTTCTATCCAGTTCAGTTCAACTCGTAAGGAAGATGGGTGTGAACCATTCACCAGCAGGTCTTGCTCTTCCTGCCTTATGACCTGTGGTGAACATATTCGGGATTTTGAGGCAGGAAGAGGGACAAAAATTATGGACCTTGCAGCATCCCAAGACCTGACCCGGAATCGAACCGAAAACTCCCATTTTCAATTGCTGTCACAATCAAAGCCTTATCTCGTCCGACTATACAAAGATAGCGGATTGGGGAGTGAGATGCGCAGGACTTCGAGAAATGAATCGAATAAAAGACTAAGGAATACAATAAACTAGCTACTCTACTTATACTGTTCTGTGAACCGTGTGAATATGAATCGTGTATGTACTCGGTGCGTAAACCATCCTGCTGCAACATGTAGTGCCGGAATGTTCTGCAATGTTCTTTTACCATGTGTTTGCCAGGTGTTCAACTATCTAATCTAAGTCCATATCTAATCCCTTCGTTATCTCATCTGTGGGCGCTTCATTAGGCGCCTCCGAGATAGGCGTTGTCGCGATAAGATTGGAATCGAATCGTGACCTTACCCCCCCTCTAGAATCGACGTCCTCGTCGATGGCGATGAAGGAGTTTGTTTCAGGAATAAATAACTTCTTCGTCGAGTATTGTTGCGACTCCTCGCGGCATTTGTATCTTTTAACTAAATAGTCCCAGTGGCCCTTCGGTAATATAGGCAAAGCACGGATAATGATTCCGTGATTCGCATTATATTTGTCAAGCATCTTTTTTGCGTGTGTAAGATGCCGTCTAGGTTCCCAAGTCCGTTCCGCCAGCGGATAATTTTTCCACCTGATTAAATACTGGTAGCCATTGCCGCGCTTGCGGTGCTTCAATATCTCCTCCACCTCGTACTCCTCGTGGCCGCTCACTATCTGGGGAGCGGGGCAATTCTCCTTTCGATGTGCCGGGGGCTCCACATACGGCGTCAAGAGCTTCTCATTGAAGACCGGATGTGACTTGTCCGTCTCCGGAAGTCTCAACTTCCAGGCCGATGCCCCCACCTTCTCCATGACCTCATACGGCCCCAGCCGTAAGTCATCAAACTTCTTTGTTGGCCGGTCCGTGGTTATGTCCTTCCCCTCCAGCCAGACCTTGTCTCCAACTTTAAATACTGGCACGTCACGCCGGTGAGCGTCATAATATTTTTTCATGCTTTTCTGGGTTTTCTCCAGCGCTGCTGTCGCCTCGTCACGAATCTTTCTCATCTTTCCGGCAAAGTCGTTCGCGGCCTCGTTGCGCGACTCGACTGCATTCTCTATTCCCTTCCAGGGGTGGAGTCCGGAATTTATAAAAAACGGTGACATGCTCGTCGACGAGCTTGTCTTGTCGTTGTGGGTGAACTCCGCCAGCGCGAGCCATTCCGCCCAGTCCGACTGGCGATAATTTACATAGATACGGAGATATTTCTCAATCTCCTGGTTCATGCGCTCGGTCTGGCCATCGGTGATTGGGTGGAATGCCGTGCTCGGGTTCATCTCAATGCCGAGGAGCCGGTTCAGCTCCTTCATGAATCCCGAGACATACTGCGGATCCCGATCCGAGACGATCTTGCGAGGAATTCCATGGTATCGAATCACTCGGTCCCGGGTCAACCGGGCAACACCTTCGGAAGACAAGTCCATATTGACTGGCTCGCAGTGGATCATCTTCGAGAACATGTCGACCCAGACTTGTATAGCATTAAAACCATTGCTGACCGGCAGTGGTCCGATCAGATCCATGGATATATTCTGCCAGGGTCCTGCCGCAATCTCGTGCGGGTTAAGCTTTCCCTGCTTATACCGATGAACCGTCGTTCGTTGGCACGGCTCGCATGCTTTTATATATCCACCAACTTGGTTTCCCAGCCGTGGCCACCAATAATTACGCTCAATCATCTCCTGTGTCCGATTTGGTCCTGGGTGACCAAGCAGAGCATTATCGTGGTGCAACCCGATAATCTTATCTCGCAACTCCGGGTTGTGCGGCACATAGATGAGTCCATTATAATAGATAAGGTCATCGATCCTCTCCCAGCCAGGGAGTTTTTGTTGGAGCGCCAGCTTCACGCTCTTGTCGACCTTCTTCTCCGCTTTGATCTGTGACATGATCTCGGCTTCGGATCCCTCCAACACGATCTCCTGAGATCGGAAATATTCGGGCTTGAGAAGAACAATATTCTCGTTATCATTCTTCCCTTGGTCGTGGTCCGCCCGGCGGGATAGTAAATCAGCTTTCTTGTTCAGCGCTCCAGGCCGGTGAGAAAGCGTGAAGTCGTATTCGGACAGCTCAACTATCCATCGCGCTTGCCTCCGATTGACTTTCTGAGGACTTTTAAAATACTGCAGGTTTTGATGATCCGTCCAGATCTCAAATGTCTCCTGCGCTCCCATCAAGAGAGATCTCCACTCCTCCAACGCGAGCATGATTGCGAGCATCTCTTTGTCGTAGATCTCGTAGTTCCGCTCCGTCTCGTTCAGTCCATGGGACTGGAACGCCACCGGGCGCCACCCCCCCTCTTGCTCCTGCTCAAGCACCGCCCCAGTTGCTCCCTCCGATGCATCAGCCTCTATCCGGAACTTCCCGTGATCCGTGGGAAGTGCGAGCACCACGTCCTCCGCAATCCGGTCCTTCAACTTCTGGAAGGCCGCCTTCTGCTCTTCTCCCCAGGAGAAGCCGTCTTTCCCCGTCAACCTCGTGAGGGGTTTGGCCACCTCACTGTATCCCCGTACGAATCGCCGATAGAAATTGGTGAACCCCAAAAACGCCTGGACTTGTTTGAGGTTTCTCGGTTCCGGCCACTCGGTGATCCCCCGGATCTTCACAGGGTCCATTCTCATGGAGTTGTGACCAATAATTACTCCGAGGTACTCGACCTCACTGCGCTCAAACTCGCATTTCTGCGGCTTTAAATACAATTGATTTCTCTCGAGTATCTCCAACACTCGTTTTACAATAAGTCGGTGCTCTTCCAGAGTGTCCGTGAAAATAAGGATGTCGTCGAGGTAGACAATGACCTTTCCTTCGTTAATTAACTCGCGAAGGATGTCGTTCATCATTGTCTGGAAAGTGGCCGGCGAGTTTGTCAAGCCGAAGAACATCACGAGCGGCTCGAACAAGCCGCGGTTGGTTCGGAAAGCCGCCTTCCATTCATCTCCCTCTTTAATACGAATATTATTATATCCCCAGCGAATGTCCAGTTTCGTGAAGACCTTCGCTCCTCGGAGTTTATTGACAAGCTCCGAGATCAGCAGCAGTGGATAACGATTCTTGATCGTCATCTCGTTAAGCTTCCGGTAATCCTGCACCGGTCGAAGGCTTCCATCCTTCTTTTTAATAAAAAAGAACGCCGAAGCCATAGGTGATTTTGACGGTCTGATACGTCCACTCTTCAAGTTCTCCTCTAGGAACTTAGTCAACTCTCCCTGCTCCGTCTGGGACAACAGGTAGATCTTGCAATCGACTGCCTTGGAGTCCGGCTTTAGTTCGATCACATGATCCCACGGCCTCTTTTCCGGAAGTCGGTCAAACGACTCCTTTGCAAACACCTTAATGTATTCGCGATACTGCTCCGGAACCGCGTCCTCCGTCATCTTTTCTCTATCTCTATCTGCCTCCTCCGCCATCTGCTGTGCCTGAGTGGCCTTGACACGCAGGTCTATGTGCTCCGCAAAGTCGACCATCAAGATCGACTCACCCTCCTCGAGCGCTTCCTCTGGCTTCCAGCCCTCGGTTTCCTCGGTGCCTTGCATGTTGCACTCGGGCGGGCACCGACTGAAGGTAATTTTCTGAGACCTCCAGTCGATCTCGGGGTTGTGTTTAAATAACCAGTCGTATCCGATAAATACACGGGCCTTCCCGAGATTTGTAACCAAGAACTTTATTCGTTCCCGGTGGAGTCCAACTCCCATAATTAATTCTGCGTAATGCGTAATCCGTCCTCCAAGGTTCTCGGATCCGTCCGCATTCCGTGCGACAATTTTCTGGTCAAGCTCTCAGAGCTCAAAGTTTTCTGCTTTGGCGTACGCCCGATCAATGCACGTGGTAGTGCAGCCGTTGTCCAGCAGCGCCTTGATACGGCGTGTCTTCCCCGTGTCCGGAGACATCAGCTCCACTGACACCAGCATCTCATGCTGCTTCCGCTGCTTCTGGAACTCCCGGAGTTCCTGCGCTAATAGGTTGTCTGAGATACCCATCGCGCGTCGTGCAAGCCACCTGGCTGCCTCCTGCTTCTTGAGTCCAAAGGGGACTCGTGTGTGTTTTGGCGCTTCCCCCACAACTGTGGGTTGAGCCATCGCGGTAGCACCGCCCTTTTTATCCGCACTATTTTTCTCACTGGTTTGGGTTCCAGGGGCCTTTTTAAATAAACTCCAACGCTTGTTCACTTCGTCCATTCTTTGGTTTTTAATATTACGGATGCGATTCAGATTCTCTAAAATACGTATTTGTTTTTTGTCTTTTTCTACATCTACTCCTACTACTATATTGTCCTGTGTACGTAGAGCAGTGCACTGTTTTATATAATTTACAAAAGAACTTCGGGTCTCGGTCGGTTCCACCTCAAGCGGAACATATTTATTTAGGGGAAGAGAAGCGGGGGGCGCCGATTCGGCCTTGATCGGGGCCCTCCTTAAAAATCCTGGCCATACATGGCCCGGGCCTGGTCAAAGAGGAATTTGAAATCCT